TGAAAACTCGAATCGGTGAAATGAACAAGGCTTCAGTTACTTGACATCTTGAGGGCAAGGTATTTTTTTGGGGCAGCAATAATGTTAGAGAGCTGATAGCTAGTTAGTGGCTGGTAGTATAAAAAATAGGAGGTTAAGTGGTTAAAAGAAGGGGATGACCAAATTTGTGAGAAGTGTGTTGGTGTTGTTCCCCGTCTTGAAGATTAGAGGTCCTCGAGAGTACCCATTATGTATTGTAATTTTTTATTTTCAATCTCATTAATGAAGTTAAGATTTTTCTGGTTTCTAACACCTTGAAGTTTCAATTTTTAGTAAAATGTACATTTAACTTTAAAATCAGTAATTATTGAAGTCCAATAACTGACGATGTTATCAAATTTAACGGTTTCAAACACATAATTTATACTGAATGGATTGAAAAATGACGATCTTTATCTTTCATGTATGAATCTCATATCTTATACCATTAATTTAATAACGTACATTAGCTTATCTCGATTGCTATTGATTTTAAACCTAAGAGTGCAATTTATCAAAATTAAAAATATAATATTTATTATGAAAAAACAAATAGTCTGAAATGCAATGATGCAATTTATTTTAGATTTTTTCTACCAACAAAGATTTACTTTAGATTTTATAAACAATATAAACTTTTAAGTTGACCCTTTAGTTAGTTTAAGAGCCACATTTTTCTTCTGTTAAAAAGTTAAAAGCTACATATTGATGAAAAATAACCAATTTTTCACACAAAAAAAAAAAGACAATGTCTACTTGAGTTGTTGAGTTAATAATAATAAATAAATGATTTTTTTTTTTTAAAGGTAGATTGCATTTAAATTAAACTAAGTTACAGAAATTCTAATGTTAATGACCCAATGAAGGGAAGGATGTACGCCTGAGACTCCAAAATTGGAGAGTTTGACACACTAAAGTCAAGCACACATAAGACTCTTTTAAAACAACCGCTCCAATTAATGGAAGCTTCCAATCGATAAAGGGGCAGATTTGCATAATGCTAAAGCTACACTAAACACTGTCAAGACGCCAGTCTAATGGACACATATTGGAGAGTACTTTGGCACACTAAAGTTTGAGCACACATAAGGCTCTTTTTGACAAAATCACTCTGGTCAATTGAAACTTCTAATCAATGGAGGGGGAGATCTTCATAGTGCTAAAGCTATACCAAACATTGTTAAGACACCAGTCTAACATACACATAACAATACTAGACACCATAACCAAACCTAACAAGCGGAGTGAAAATGTCGTTATTACAATAAACAAGACACACGACAAACAAAACTACAAAACAAAGAATAGGCCCCAGGTACCTGTTGTCAACCGACTTTCGCGAGGAGGTAGTCGATAATAACACTACTAGGAAGCTAAAGGACTTCGAAAGGCACACGATAAGGTAGAGGAATCTCGTTAAATTGTACCACGACAAGCACTCTAGCCGCAAGCAAGACATGGAACCACCATCTCCATTAGAAGCTCACCACCACGCGGACAAACATCCCAAGAGAGTGTAGCCACTAACCGATGACCACACTGGAAACAACAATCTAAACAAATGACAACCAATCTCTAAAGTATGTTAGATCCGCTCAAACGATTGCACCACTCCACACACAGCCACCACCACGGGGAAGTCGATGTCGAAACAAGTCTGATGACCAACTTCCACAACCGAAAGCTCGACGAAGCGCCCGGAGGCAGCGCCGGAGCTCTGGTCAAATACCGCACACCTTTGCTTTATTGTCATTTGAGAGAGAAAGACAAAAAAAAAAAAAAAAAGTGATATCTAATCGTTAATAAATAAAGGATTTTGATCTCACATTTATTTTTCTCTTTTCTTGTCTTGACGGTTTGTCATATGAGATTCTATTATTCCATTTATTACATTATCTTTTAGTGCGCTTACTTTAACAGCTACGTGACGCATGCGTGAATTTTTTCTAACCAAAAGTAGCTTTTGGCATTAGAACAACTTTAGGATCACTTATAAAGTTGGAAGCATTTATATATTTCGACAATTTGGGGCCAAAGTGGGAATAAGGCCTAACTCAAACATACCAATGATTTCGCCGCTAATCTTTTTGTGGACCGTAACACATTCTTTTTATTATTGCATTTTTAAATAAGAAAAATATAGCGAGAGATAAACATAATTATATTGCACTTCTTGGGGTTCAAATTTGCTATATGTACTCCCGCTAACTATATTTTGATCTATGATATTGTCCGAAGCTCTACGAAAACGAGGGAAATGTGGATTTTTCCCAAGACTCAGCAGCGCTCAAGTCATAATAGTAACAATTTAGGAAAATATAAGTCTCGAGTTCAAAGATCAAGAAAATCTTCTATCTATAAATCCAGGTTTATTTCTAATTCTAACCGTTGATTCGCAGGATCTCATGTGTTTTCACTAAATGAGATTGTCCTTATGTTTTTTTTGCTAATCGAGATCATCCTTATGCTTAATGTGGCATTCTTCTTAATTCGATCTGATTATGTGCCACGGCTCATGCATCAGTTTTTCATGTATTTGATCTTATTAATTGTTGTATTATGCTCTAATTAGGCCTTGAACGCACTTTTTTTTTTCTTTCATTAAAATTATTTCAATGGCATCATTTTCTTTCCTTGATATATTACATGCCATACATAGACATTTAATAATGAATTATTTCCTCCCCCACAATAACAAATAATGATACGAAGTTCTTTGATCACTTATCACTCTTTTTTTCCTCCTATAATTGTGGATGTTGAAGGTTAAGTGACTAATATGTGTATCATTCAAAGTCTGCATCAAAATTGTTGTATTACAATGTGAGGAATTGAAAGATTCACATGGACATGTGCATGTCTTTATCTTTGTATTTAAAAATTTAGCAAGTTGTTGGGATATAATGCAAAACTATGTTGTTAAGGAAGTTTCACTTGTTACCTCCTCCGTTCAATTGCATTTCAGAATTTATTAAAATTAAACTGACCTTAGATATATTAAATATGAAAAATTGAAAATGATTTTTACATGTATATATGTATGATTAGTTTTCTTTCTATTTTATGTGGTTTTATATAACTTTTATTAGATTAATTTTAATTTATTTTAACAAAGTATCGTACATTGTTGATGCAAAAGTCAATGAATAACATAATCCTAAACATCTTTTACAAAATAAGTACAAGCAAAATAATTTAAAACAAATAAGTACAAAGAAACTACAAAAGCAACTCTTCTAGTTAAAGGAAGTTGTATAAAAATAAAAATTACAATTGCACGTTTTTTTTTTTTTTTAAAAAGAAAAGAGTGGTAAGGGGTTTAGGATGGAGAGAATGTTTATTTCATAATTTAAGTTAAGAACTTGAGTTGTATTTATGAGAGAAAAATATTATAAAAAAATAATTAATTTAAATTTTTATGAGAAAAAATATTGTAATAATAGAAATTAAATTGTGAACTTGAGTTGTGACTTGAGTTGGAAAAAGAACAGAGCCTTTTGTCAATTGAAAAATAATAAAAAGATGCATAAAAATATTGGTAGTCCCTGTAAAAAAAGGAATTTCTCTGATAATCCCTGTAAAAATAGACTTTTAGTAGTTTTTTATTTTTCATCATCAGATTTATATCAGAATCTGTCTATTCTACATACTTTTTTAATTTAATATAATTTTAATTAAATTTAACGTTAAAAAACTGAGACTATCGATAAAACATATTATAAAAAAACTAAAAAAAAACAAGAAAACAAAAAAAAAAACTTTAGACATTAACCGCCACATCACATTAGCTGTAACAGTTCAATGGAATTTGATGAAAAGTAGTCTACTCATACGATTTTTTCTTATCTCATTGAAGGATTTTCCTTTTTATTTGATAAATTGTTAATTAAATATGAAAAACTGCTCATATATAACTAATAGGATATTGTTTTAAACCAACGGATTTGAAGTGGTTTTAATTACATCAAACATTATTCAACAAAAATTACATGAAACATTCAAAAAATAACAGAAGTTAAATTCCTCATTCAAAAAAAAACAGAAGTTAAATTCCTAAAAAAAAAAAAAAAAAAAAAAAAACACAGAAGTAAAGCTCATCTTTCAAACATGTCTATTTTTTCTCCCAGTCCTTCAAACATAAGTAATTGTATTAGAGTCCAAATACATACACATGGTTATATTCTATAAAAAAAAAAAGTAATTAATAAAGGCCAACTATAAAAACAGAGAGAGAGAGTGACAGACTGAGATTGAGATCTCTCCTGGTGAAGGTCAATGCTCCAATTATATAATTATAAACTCTCATATTTCTTTTTTTTTTTAAATTTTCTTCTCATAAAAATGAGCAAATAAATTCCTCTAAATTCCTCGAACCATCACTACTCTTCTTTTATAATTTTTTTTGTTAATTTTTTTTTTCTGGAAGGAAGAACCATCACCGTTGTGGAGGTTTTTTTTTTTTTTTTTTTTCCTCTTCTCTCTCCAGAAACGACCTTAAAATAACTTCTATATATACACATACAAACAAACAAGAGATGTGTGTGCATTGCTTCTTAACGTTTCAGAGGAAATAGATCCAAAGTTTCATCAGGGTTTTCTTGTGAACAGGAATTTCTCAAGTGTCTCAGAAGGACAAATTTGCACCTTTGCTTTGTACTGCCAAAAATCCCAGTGGCCAGAGAGTTATATAGGTCAGCTTTTTGGAGAGAGAGAGAAAAAGAGGCTGAAAAACAGAAGCCTCTACAGATAGAGAGAGAAAGAGAGGAGAGAAGAGAGAGAGAGAGAGAGAATTTGCCATTTTATTGTAACATAACAACTTGTTACCCATAATTTGGTTTGAAGAAATGCATTGGGAAAGCTAGTTCACATTTTGGTGTATTTACTCAAAGGCAACAACTTTGTCAGTGTGTGGGCTCTGTTGGGAAATAAAGATTGCCTTTTTCCAGACCAACTCTAGCTTTTTCTTGCATACAAGAGTTAAGGTTTTTATTTTTTTATTTTTTTTGTACTAGTACTATCCAAGGAAAGAAAGGTACTCTAGTTTTGTTTTTTCTATTCTCAGGAGAAAGATTTGGGAATACTGGAGACTTTTCTACAAACCCATTTTTGTTTTATTCTTATTATTACTGTTTTGTGTTCACATTTGTGATTGGGTTATAGAAATGTAAGGATACCCAATTGCCCATAATTTGTATCTTCCCTATTAGTAGCTAAGGATGGTCTGTTCATAATGGGGTTTGAATAGTTTTAATGTGCTTCTGATTTTGGTATGTAATTGAGGACAAGTTTTTTTTTTCCTTTTTTTTTTTTGGATTGGGTTGAGAGAAGAGGAAGGTTATTTAAGGGTCTTTTGAGGAGGTTGTTCGCGGTATAGAAAATGGAGGAAAATTCAAAGGAAACGAGATCTTTGGCCTTGACACCAACGTGGTCTGTTGCTACTGTCTTGACAATCTTTGTTGCCGTTTCTTTGCTTGTGGAGCGCTCCATCCATCGTTTAAGCAATGTAAGTTGAACTCTTAATAACAACACTCGATTTCCTCCCCCCCCCCCCCCCCCCCCTAGTGAGACTCCTATCTTATCTTGTGTTTTAAGCTTGAGTTTAGTCTAGAGTCTTATTAAGTTTTATTATTATTATTATTATTATTATTATCATTCTTTTTATTGTTGATGTTGTACTGATGGAGAAAAGTTTTCTCTTGTTTAATAAGAATTTTGTACTAATGAGGTGCCAATGTCGTTTTCAGGAAGTAATTTTTTTAATAGCTTCTGGCTGTTTGTCTTAAGCCCTTTCACTTGTTTAAAGAGAAAAGAAAAAGTTGTTTTGGTTGTTTTTGATGAAAAACAATCTGAAGTATCCTGTACTACATCACAGCCTTCATTTGAGAGAATTCAGTTCAAACCTTGATGGCGGATAATTTTTGGAAGTCACATTCCTCAGTTAGAACTTGAAATTGATAACCCTTTTGTACGGAGAGAAAAAAATGTTTTAGTAACCCCATTGCCCATTTGCTCTTTGTGAATGTTTTATTAACCTTTTAAGCATGATGGTGGCCATCTATTTGAGTCCAAATGATAGAAGCCTTTCAAGATATCCCTTTGGTTAAAAAGCTTCCTACGACATACATGAAGACGAAACAAGTTATAGTGTCATGGCATAAATATCTGGTAGACTTTCCAATTATTTGTGACAGATGAATTTTCTGAAAGTTACACAATGTTTCTTCAAGAATGTGGTAATTTAGTTAAGTTATTAGGCTGAATATTCAGCAAGATACTTACTCTGCCTTTTAACACTTCACCTCGATTGTTAAGCTTCCAATGTTTAGATGATTTTTGCCTACAAGTTCTAAGTTTTAGTCATTGTCTCTATAATCTCCGTACATAGAAAGTCTTACTTTTAATCTTGTTGTTTTTGGCTGCATATTGCAATGGCATTGACTACCTTCCTGCCATCAATCCCCCAGCACAATTGTAATTTTGATAGCCACTTGCTGTTATATTGAACCTTGATTCTGCCTCATTTTTTCTTGAATATTTAACAACCTAGAAAATGATTTGGATAGTTAACTTCGATTAGCTTCTTACATTCTTGTATATTTTCAGGTGTTGAATTGTGATCAGTCAACTTTGTAAGATTTAAGTGATTAAACTATGAATTATTACAAGTTTCTTGTGTGCTCAATTTTATCCAAATTCCAAGTTTTTGGTTTCTACTGCATTATTAGTAATAACTTTATTCTAAGTTTTACTTTTATTGTTGTTTTAGTGGCTGCGGAAGACTAATCGAAAACCCTTGCTTGAAGCAGTGGAGAAAATGAAAGAAGGTACGTGGTATAAATCTTTTATGGAACCATATCAACATGCAAAGAATTAGGAACCATATCAACATGCAAAGAATTAAGTCTTTTGTATGGTTGATAAGTGAATCAATTAAGCACTTCCAAATATTTTACTACTCTCGCTGATAAGTTTTCACTTTTGCACTCCTGTGATCAGAGTTGATGCTGCTGGGGTTTATATCTCTCCTTTTAACGGCCACGTCAAGCATCATAGCCAATATTTGCATCCCATCAAAGTTTTACAATAGCGCTTTTGCTCCGTGCACAAGGTCTGAGATTGATGAGGAAACTGAGGACAATTCATCTGATGAACAACGTAAACTATTGATGTCTCCTGTACTTCATCACTCATTGAGGAGAATGTTGAATGCTTTAAATCAGAATACCTGCAAAGAGGCATGTCCTCATCTTTGAGATTTAGACGCTCTCATACTTTTTCAAAAGAAGAAATTGCTCTCTTATGCTTCATTTATTTCTTGGAAAATAATGTTAACAAAATGAATGATAGAGGGTAATTGGACATTTTCTCTGTTTGTTAGGGTCATGAGCCTTTTGTTTCATCCGAAGGTCTCGAGCAGTTGCACCGCTTCATCTTTGTTATGGCAGTAACTCATGTATCCTATAGTTGCTTGACGATGTTGCTGGCAATTGTTAAGGTAAGTCGGCCTTTACTATATTGTTCTAGAATTACTTGAGAATTTGAGCTTCTTTGATTTTTCCTTGCTAGCATCTCATTCTCTCTACCAAAGCACTTATTTAGTTTTTGTTTGGTTGCGAACTAAGTAGAAGTGTTGCTTTGGTATGTTCTAATACAATGCGAACATGAAAAGTCTCCTTGTGCCCTTCTAGATCATAGCTATAAAAATGTTAAAGTTATCCTGATTAGTTTGCGCCATAGTATTCTGAATGATGGTGGCGAGATATAATGGAAAGAGCTAGTTACTTCACCAAGGAGCTATATAAGGTGGAGTTTGTGTGTCTTTTGGTGGGCTTGTTGAATAAATTGAAAAATTGTAGCATAAAGAATTTCCTGATCGAGATTAGTCCTGGTTACTCCCAGTTAATGGACACTGGAATAGAAGAGGAGAACGAATGGTCATATATGCTTTGCTTGCTGATAAATACCATAGAAGATTGAGTTGAGTTGTGTTGTCATTTTTTTTTTCCTATTTACTTCGAAACTTCTCATCGTTTTGACCTGTAAAGGAAAGAGAGGAAAAAAAATAATCTTTTGTTGTATCTAGACACGCCTTTTGTATGTTTAAATCAGTTGAAGGAAACTTAGGGCTTGTTCTTTTGAGTGAAAAACTAAAAAAAATGCAACTCGAGTTACAACTTTATTCAAGTTCATGTTCTTTAAGTTTAAACTCGAGTTTAAACTCGAGTTCAAACTCGAGTTTATGACTAAAACTCAAGTTCAAGTTTCCCCTTCAACTCGAGTTCAGAAACTCGAACTCAAATTAATGAACAGTATTTTTTCTATTCTTAAAAATGCTATAATTTTTTCGTTTTAATTCTGATTGAGATGATTTTTTTTCTATGCATTGACAACGAAAAGACGAATAAAACCCGACCCATATACCCTATTAAAATTGTTGGAAAGTTAGGAAATAATATCCCATAGAATCAGGAAATTAGAATTTGAATATTTTATGTTTTAGATATTTTCGGATTTGGTTATGTTTCCTTTTTCTTGCTCCTTAATTCTAGGAACCGGAGATATTGTTTCCTTCTATTTAAACTAATGTAACCTATGTTATGAATAATAAGAAAGTGAGAGATTTCTGCTCTCTAGGTTTTCCTCCTTAATCTGTCCTCTTTTCCTACAAAAATTTTTCATCAACATTGAGTTTTTATTAAAATGCTATCTAAATACAAATTCAAGTTTTGACTCACTCAAACGCAAACTCAAAAAGATTATTATCTCAAACCATAACTCAAATGTACACAACCAAACACAAACTCAAGTTACAAGTTTAACTCAAGTTATAACTCAAATTCAACTCAAGAATTATACTCAAGTTAAACTCCAAAAGAACAACCCCTTAGTTTCTCTGGTCTTGATGTCTTGCTATATCTGTACAGTATTGTGCTCTTTAGCTGTTCTTTGAAGTTATGAAACTCCGAGGATCTTCGTTGCTCTACCTGAACTTTAAGTGATAAAATTGAGAGTGGGCACACCTTATGAGTGCTCTGACAAAGCATTTTGTTTGACATTGTGATGATGTCCAGGTTCACAGTTGGAGGGTATGGGAGGATGAGGCTCACATGGACAGGCACGATTCTTTAACTGGTAAGCTTTAATGTGTTTTGTTGGGAGAAGTAAAACTCATGTTGGTTTGCCTCATGTCACAACCCTGATTGTCGGAACTATACATTGTTGTACTTGTAATCTATGGAGAAATATGGAGTGCCAGAATTCTTATGAGTCTGACTTCTTTAAATCTTTTTTTCCCCATTGTGTTGCGATTGATTACATACTGTTGGGCAAAAAAGCTTGTACAGGCCCTTCCTTGGCTAACTATTCACCTTTTGGTTTGGGGTTTGTATGCATCGAACTTGCCAAAGTTTTAGACTTTGCAAACCTCGATAATTACCCGCCCCTCTTTGAATAAGGAGCTTCACTCTTTAGTAAAGACTCCCACTCCTAAAAATAAAATAGTCCGAAGAGTAAAATTCCAGGCTGAAACCCCAGTTACTGATCAACTTGGCAGATCGGACCCGTTCCCAGCTCCGCTATGCAAAGAGGGAAGTTACTAAATCCTTTTTTATAAGAATAAGATTGTTTCACAGGCTGATAGACATTTGTAGAATTGTTCACTGGCCAATGTGGTCAATGGTCATGCAAGACAATCATATTACTCTCGACAGACATATATGCATTTTAACTTCTTAGTGGAACAGGAGACTATTATTTAAATAGGTTTGACATGCATGTTATTCCATCCCACTATTTTGGTGCTCCATTTGTGATGCATGGAAACTGGGGCTGGTTGTGCTTAATAGGCACCTATTTTCTGCATTTCCATAGATTTCAAAAGATGACAACAATAGCTTCTATAACAGAAATCACAAGACATTTGACCATGCGAAGGCAATCAACCTTTGTCAAAGTTCATGTCCACACTTCAACGCCTCCGGTCAGAAACAGTCTTCTCATCTGGGTGGTAAGTACACTCTCTTTGCTTTAGTTTTATGTGTGCCTTTATTTACTTTTATGTTCTACTACATCATTACTAATGGTGTAAATAGTTCATCTGAGTGGAAGAAAGCATCTAGGATCTCTTAACCTCGTGAGTTGGTGGAAAGCTTAACTCACTGACTTAAATTTGTACTGAATTGTGGCCTTTATCTTGCAGACCTGTTTCTTCCGCCAGTTTGGGCATTCAGTGGTTCGTGCTGATTACTTAACATTGCGCAAGGGCTTCATCATGGTATATAATTTCGTTCTTCAAAGAACTACCATGGTTTTTTTTTTTTTGTTATTATTATTATTATTTATCTTTTCTTTCCGTGTTAAGTTTCGTTCTTTTGAGACGCACATTCTACACTTATAAAATCACTAATATGTTTCTATATAATGATTATACATGCCTCTTACAGCAAGATGGTATATCATATAAATATTTTTCAAGAAGAGCTCTCACTAGTTTCATTCATTAACTGAAAATCCCACGGGCATTTTATGAAGTGCCTTTTTGTTTTCATTAGCTGCTTTATATGGTGCTATAAGTTGATATATCTTCGTATTTCTACCTGTTACATTTGTAGTTGAAGTAGTTTTTCGCAAATATTTGCTGCTGATAATGATAAGAATACTCCTGTGTTTTTATTAATAATTCTGGATGTTCTAATTCTTTCTATTTATGTTTAAATACTCACTTTTCTTTCCCTTGTTTGTGGCAGAATCATAACCTCACACTAAAATATGATTTCCACAGCTATATGATTCGTTCCATGGAAGAAGAATTCCAAAGGATAGTTGGTGTGAGGTAACCAACACATTTGCAGCCGTTCTTAGCATCTCAAGCTTTTAAATTAGCAGTTTATAAAAATAAAAGTTCTTCTGGAGTGTTTTTATGCTATTTTCCTTTTTACCTTTACATTATATATGTCATAGACTGCCAAAGTCTATTTGGGAAAAGAGAAACCATTTTGGGAACATCATTACTCTTAAAAGTGAAATAGAAATATAAAGCCATTCAAAGTATCTTGAAACCATTTTATTGCTTAAGATACGGCCCTGAAGCTACCTTATAATTATTCTTATCGATCACAAGTCCTGTTTGTTTAAAGTATTTTTACCCCTTGCATGGAAAACCAATATTCAACCACTCAACACAATTGTCTAGAACGGCTAACAGGCCAAGCGACCAAGTTATCTTCTCCGATGTTATTTACTTGTTTGCATAATTCAAATCAGAAATTAACAGCTGATACACATCACTGCCTAATGACTTGCAGTGGTCCATTATGGGGATTTGTTGTTGCTTTCATGCTGTTTAACATAAAAGGTACGACAAGCGTATGAAAATGAGACCATACATAGATGACCTTGCTTTTATGTTTCCCATCATTGTACTTCTGTAAATATTAGAGCGACACTTCCAAATAATATATTTATAGTCTATCTTGGAAATTTCTGAACTTTTTTTTTTTTTTTTCATTCTGTACCTTATGACAGGGTCTAATCTCTATTTCTGGATTGCAATCATTCCCATTACTGTAAGTTTGGAAACCATTTTCCACTCTTTAAGTTGTTAGTGTGTAAGTGTGTATTCTCTAAGGTGCTAGCTCAGCACACACTTGAAAAACCAACAAAACTACATGTAGAAATACTCGGTTAGGATATTCAGGGATTCTAGAATAGTTGACAAAAGTAAATTAGGAATAAAGAGATTTGGAATCATTCTCAATATCTCTATTTGGTAGTTTCTTGATTTCTGATTTGTTTCCTTTTTTCTTTTTTTCCTTATTCTATAAGGAATCAGTAATTGGTGTAATTAGTGCTAGGGTGAACGGAGACCTTATGTATAAGTAGGGCTGTACATACATGTTCTTGATCAATGAGAAAATTATCATTCAACCCTAAAAACTTCATGGTATCAGAGCCGCCTCCTTTGATCCTGAAATAGATGACAAAGTACGGCATGACAATGAGCCGCCAAAGCCAATCTCTGTCAGAAGTTTCCTCTTCCTCCGAAGCTGTTACCACCAACAACAATGGAATCTCCGATGGCCTTATTCAGTCCATTATTGGGCATAAACTCAATGGCCAAAACTACCTCTATTGGTCACAATCCGTTATGATGTTTGTCTGTGGAAAAGGGAAAGAAGATTATCTTTCTGGAGCAGATCCGAAGTATAAACTTCGGAAGGCCGAGAACAACATGGTCATGTCTTGGCTTATCAATTCCATGACCAACGAGATTAGGGAGAATTTCCTATTGTATGGGACCGCCAAAGAAATCTGGGACGCAGCCAAAGAGACATACTCCAATTTCGACAACTCATCCGAGTTGTTTTCCGTGGAGAGCATTCTCCATGATCGGCGTCAAGGAGATCTTTCTGTGACTCAATATTTTAACACCCTCACAAGGAATTGGCAGTAGTTGGACATGTTTGAAGAACACGATTGGAAGTGTCCTGAAGATGGAATGAAATACAAGAAGATTGTTGAGAAGAAAAGACTTTATAAGTTTTTGTTGGGACTCAACAAGGAACTTGATGAAATTCGATGAAGAATCATGGGGATGAAACTACTGCCGAGTGTTCGAAAAGCTTTTTCGGAAGAGAGTTGAAAGAGGGTGATGATGGAACCTACAGTCACTGCTCACAGCCCAAAAGCATCTTCCCTTATTGCTCAGGGGCCCCAACACCAAGCTGGAGATTCAAAAGCAAGGAGAGGACGATCTTGGTGTGATCATTGCCATAAACTCGGTCACACAAAGGAGAACTGTTGGAAAATTCATGGAAAGCTAGCAGATTGGAAACCGGCAAGGCTAAACAACAGAGAATGACGCAGCAATCTCGACTCCAGCGAAGCAAACCCTCCACAAACCGAGCAGAATCTGTTCAACAAAGAGCAAATGGAGTTTCTGCAGAAACTGATCAACCTGCACCATGCCAATACCTCAGAAGTTGGAACCGTGTCTCTAGCTCATAAAGGTAATCTCCTAAATGCCTTCAATACAACTCGAGAGATGTACAGACCATGGATTGTGGATTCAGGAGCTTCCGACCATATGACTAGAGACGCAAGGTTGTTCACCACTTATAGTACTTGTCATGAGAACTTTAGAGTGCGTTTGGTTTAAGGATTCATGTCATGGTTCGAATCATGGTTCGCGGCTCGCTACAATGTTATCTCTCACAAAAAACACACATAAATCGAGAATGGTTCTGAATAATAATTCTGAATCTATCAACCAAACGTCCTCTTACTGTCAGGATTGCAGTTGGATCACGCTCAAGAGTCATAGGGAAAGGATCCGTAGTTGTATCAAAGGACCTTACCTTAAACTCCGTATTTCTTGTCCCAAATTTGGATTGCAATCTCCTATCAATTAGTAAACTCACTCACGAGCATAATTGTGTTGCTAATTTTTTTCAAAACTCTTGTAAATTTCAGGACCTGGATTCGGGGAAGATGATTGGCAATGCTAAGATGTGCTCGGGGCTCTATATCCTCAAGAATGACCATCCACGAGAACAACAACCTCATATGGCAGATTCGGACATGCCAAATCAGCAACTTACAAAATTTTCTTGTTCTGTTTTTCAATCCAATAATGATAGTGCAATCATGTTATGGCACTATAGGTTAGGCCATCCAAACTTTGTTTACCTTCAAAAACTTGTTCCTTCATTATTCATCAATAAAAGTCCAAAAGATTTTCAGTGTGATATTTGTCAATTTGCTAAACACACCGTAGTTCATACTCAATTCAACCATACCGAAAATCCAATCCATTTTCAATGATTCACAGAGATGTATGGGGACCTTCTCGGGTTAAAAACATCACTGGAACAAGGTGGTTTGTGTTGTTTGTCGATGATCATACTAGGATTACTTGGGTTTTTCTCATGAAAGAAAAATCATAAGTTGAACAAATCGTCAAGAATTTTAATACCATGATTCAAACTCAATTTCACACCAAAATACAAATATTCCGCACAGATAATGCCAGGGAATACTTCAAACATTTTCTCAGAGAATACCTACGAAATCAAGGTATTATACACCAAAGTTCTTGTGTTGATATCTCTCAACAAAATGGGGTGGAAGAAAGAAAAATAGACATATCTTAGAGGTTGCTATATCACTTATGTTCTCCACCCACGTTCCAAAACATTTTTTGGGGGAAGCTGTACTCACAGCAACCCATCTCATAAACTGAATGCCCTCACGAGTCCCAAACTTTCAAACCCCATGTCAGTCTCTTCTTCTTTCATACCCAAGGACCAGACTTCTCTCAACCATTCCACTCAAAGTGTTTGGTTGCTCTGCGTTTGTTCACATCCATCAACAACACATAAGCAAACTTGATCCTAAATCCCTCAAATGTATTTTTCTCGGTTACAGCCCAAATAAAAAAGGGTACAAATGCTATTCCCCGGTCACAAAGCGATTCTACACCTCAATGGATGTCACATTCTTTGAAAATACACCATACTTTCCCAAATCAGCTATTCAGGGGGAGAATGGACAAGAATTCCAGCTTTGGGACATAGATGTTCCATCATCGAGTCATCCTTCAAACCCAGTCACTGGTCCGGCCATCACCACCACCATGTCTGTCCCAAACTTCCAATCCGAAACCACTATTTCAGATGTCCTCTCGACCTCAACTCCTATCCAACGTCTGAAGCCTGCCAACAATGGTGAGTTCATTGTATATTCCCGAAGAAAGAAAACCCAAGAGGATGTAGAGCCACAAGCACCTCCTGAGCAGCGTCAAGAGGCTGAACCGGATCCAAGAGTTCTTGAGACTCTTATCACCAGGTAGCACTAGCTCTGTGAACATTATAGATGAGCCTAATGTTGATGATCTTGATTGTCCAATTGCGTTAAGGAAAGGAGTGCGATCTTGTACTAGTCATCCAATTCACAATTTTGTATCTTATAAAATATTGTCGCCGAACTATCATACTTTTGTGGCAGAATTAGACAAGGTGCAGGTTCCTAACTCCATCCACGAAGCCCTGTCTATTCCAGAATGGAAAACAGCAGTATGGGAAGAAATGAAGGCTCTAAAGAAGAATGGAACTTGAGAAATTTCGGAGCTACCAAATGGGAAGCGTACAGTGGGGTGCAAGTGGATATTCACTGTCAAATACAAGTCAGATGGTAATGTGGACAGGTTTAAAGCACGGTTGGTTGCTAAAGGGTTCACTCAAGCATATGGCATTGATTATTAAGAGACCTTTGCTCCAGTAGCCAAATTGAATACTATTCGGGTATTACTTTCATTGGCTGCAAATCTTTGATTGGCCTCACTACCAACTTGATGTTAAGAATGCCTTCCTTAATGGGGACCTTATAGAAGAAGTTTACATGTATATCCCTCCTGGTTTTGAGTCTCATGCTACTATAAATAAGGTATGCAAGCTCAAGAAGTCTCTTTATGGATTAAAACAATCTCCCAGAGCATGGTTTGACAGGTTCAATAAGACAGTAAGGAAGTATGGATACTCACAATGCCAAGCAGATCACACACTCTTTGTTAAGCACTCATCGGAAGGGAAGATAGCAATTCTCATTGTATATGTGGATGACATCATTCTCACGGGAGACAATGAAGATGAGTTGTTCAAGCTCAAGGCACTACTTGCCAAGGAATTCGAAACCAAGGATCTTGGAAACCTAAAATATTTCCTTGGAATGGAAGTAGCTCGATCAAGAAATGGAATTTCGGTGTCACAGCGGAAATATGTGTTGGATCTTCTTAGGGAGACAGGCATGCTTGGGTGTAAGCCAGCTGAGACTCCTCTGGACTTGGGTACCAAACTTGGAGCAAAGGAAGTACTCCAGTGGAAAAAGGGCGATACCAGAGACTTGCGGGGAAGCTGATTTATCTTTCCCACACTAGACCAGACATTGGGTTCGCAGTTAGGGTGGTAAGCTAATTCATGAATGAACCTACTGAGGAACACATGGAGGCTGTCAATCGAATATTGAGATATCTAAAAATGACACCAGGAAGGGATTATACTTCGGAAAAACAACAAGAAGAGACATTGAAGTATTTGCAGATGTTGATTGGGCTGGATCTATAACTAATCGGAGGTCTACCTCTGGTTATTGCACGTATGTGTGGGGAAACCTAGTTACTTGGCGAAGTAAGAAACAACCAGTAGTATCACGGAGTAGTGCAGAAGCAGAATTCAGAGCACTGGCACTTGGCATTTGTGAAGGTTTATGGTTAGACAGGTTACTCAATGAATTAAGGATTGGTATCCCATCTCTTATGAAGGTATTTTGTGACAATCAATCAGCTATGAATATATCTAAAAATCATGTTCATCATGATCGAACAAAACACGTGGAGATAGATCGTCACTTCATTAAAGAAAAGATAGACAACGGGATCATGAGCTTACTACACATCTCTACGAGTAAGCAAATAGCATATATTCTCACTAAAGCTCTGTCAAGGAAGAATTTTGAAGAATTGAGTTCCAAGCTCGGCTTGATCAACATTTACGCCTAGCTTGAAGGGGAGTGTAGAAATACTCGGTTAGGATATTCAGGGATTCTAGAATAGTTGACAAAAGTAAATTAGGAATAAAGAGATTTGGAATCATTCTCAATATCTCTATTTGGTAGTCTCTTGATTTCTGATTTGTTTCCTTTTTTCTTTATTTCCTGCTTCTATATGGAATCAGTAATTGGTGGAATTAGTGCTAGGGTGACCGGAGACCTTATGTATAAGTAGGGCTGTACATACATGTTTTTGATCAATGAGAAAATTATCATTCAACCCTAAAAACTTTACTACATCTTAATATGTTATCCCAGAAGGTACACCCCAGCTGAGGTGATCATTACATGATCAAATAAGACTTCTGTTCTGTCTCAAATCGGTCAGATTCTATGGTGATAAATTTTCTTTTGAGGTTTCTAATTTGGTTTCATATTATCGTACACAGCTAGTTCTTCTGATAGGTGTGAAGCTGCAGCATATTATCGCGACCCTGGCATTAGAGAATGCTGGTATTACAGGATTTCATGAAGGACCAAAGCTGAGGCCGCGGGATGATCTTTTCTGGTTTAAGAAGCCAGAACTTTTGTTGTCCTTGATTCACTTTATTCTATTCCAGGTCAGCTACATATCCACCAATGTTTTATACTTTAAAGTAAATATTGTTTCAATTAACGGCTTCTCCACGAGTTAGATACTGTTTAACTAATACAATTTCTTTCATTTGCTCTTTTTGCAGAACGCATTTGAACTAGCTTCATTCTTTTGGTTTTGGGTAACTTTCTTTTCCTCATCTAGATTGCGATACACCTTAGAATGAATTTCGCGATTTAACCCTTATCTTTTTTGCCATGAAAAAGGTTAAAACTGTGCAATTTATCTAAATGTTTTTATTATTTTATGATTGCAGTGGCAATTTGGTTACAATTCTTGCTTCATTCGGAATCATTTTCTTGTCTATTTAAGGCTCATTTTGGGGTATGCATACAATTTATCATGCTAATCTTGTCTATTTGATAGACTATATGATCAATTATGGTCATTACATTTCGTCACTTTGTAGGTTTGCTGGGCAATTTCTTTGCAGCTATAGTACTTTGCCGCTTTATGCATTGGTAACTCAGGTATGGAACAAGTAAATGCCTATGGTTGTATTGCATATGGTAAATATTATGAAAATTTGCAAACTCCAAGGGTGAATAATCTGGATAAATGCGAAAGTATATTTTTGGGTTATCTTCTGTTTCAGTTTTCTAGCAAAATTCTAACTGTTTCTGCGTACTATTTTGCCGCATTTTCTTTAGATGGGAACAAATTATAAGGCAGCCCTCATACCACAGAGAATAAGGGAAACCATTCACGGGTGGAAAATGGCAGCTAGGAGGAAAAGAAGGCTCGGCATGTTCACAGACGATTCGACCATTCACACCGATGCAAGCACAGTGATCTCCGTTGAGGAAGACGATCATCTGTTTATCAGTAACCAAGAAACCGAAGCAAATGCACATACTGAAATAGAATTGCAACAAGCTTCTCCTGATATTGCAGACACTGCTGCTGTTGCTAATGAAACATCAAGTAGGATCGGTACACCCCTTCTTCGGCCATGTACTTCGGTGCCTTCATCAGTTACACTAGATTTTCACAAAGACAGTACTCTGAGGTCTTTTTCAATGCCGGCCAGAAGAGAATGACGTATTTGACAAGTAATGAGGATGATGACGAAGAAAATCAAGACGGTAAAGTGCATAGGTTGATGAACTTGGAAGCAGATATCCGGATACAGAAGGTACTAGAAAAGGAAATTGTATTTAGGTTTGGCTTTTTTTGTGTAAGCAACTCGGAACTTGTTTCCTTTTCTTCTACTTTCTAATATTTGCATGAATGATACAAATGAATAGAATACTAGTGATATGTAAGTTGTAACATAATTTGCCATAAGTGAGTGTCAGTAACTATGAATTTATATGTAACAGGAACACAAGATATCGGAAAACATCAAAGCATACTGGTGAAGATATGAAATTTAATTAGCTTTTCCCATATTTTGTCACAAACCGAAAATTAATTGACATTTTTTGTCCTAATTTCTAGCTTTTTTTTTTTTTTTTTTTCCATCGTAGTATCTCATTACAAGGATTGCTTTCGTATTTGGTTAGTTACTTGTAAAGTACTGAATTTGAATATGGATAGATTTTGGTCATATTGTGCGAGAGAACATTATTCCCATCTCTGAGTTTCCCCATGAAGCAAAGTGTTTATAAATAAAGATAATATAATTACTTATCAAGACTTTTATTTTATTATGAGAGATAATCTATATTTTTTACTTGGGTTATATTACATCCTTGGCACTTCATAGTTGGACCTGTGGATCACGACTTTGACCAGACCCAACTTGGGCTTCATTGTGGGGCCTGTCACGCTCCGCCGATGGGTCACCGTTCTCATGCATGGGCTTCTTGTCCACGGCCTGCCCTCGGGTTTTGCCGGCTTCAGAAGTGGGCTGATGGTCCTCATGCATGGATTGAGCATGACCATTGGAGTATGGCGTTGGCGTATTGCAGCCAACCCCGGGCACACAAATTGGTGGTGGAATCAAAGTTGGTGGTAGTGGAATCACTGGTGGAATCAAAATTGGTGGTTGTGGAATGCTTATGATTCCGCCGCAGTTAGGATCATTGGGCCAATTGCAAGGACGCCCCTGATAAGGAGGGCAGCCACTGTGGTCCCAGTAACCAGGGTTCCCTGGATACCCGTTGTTCCCGCCTCCCTGGCCCACTCCAATTCCAACACCCACACCGCTACCAGAGCCACCATAACCTGGTCCAGAACCGGATCCGTATCCGTAACCTGATCCAGAACTAGATCCAGAGCCCGATCCATAACCTACACCGGTTCCCGATCCACCGTTACCACTACCACTACCACTCCCATAACCATACCCAGAATCACTACCACTAGAACCAGATCCGTATCCATAACCTGATCCAGAACCCAATCCATAACCTACACCGGTTCCCGATCCACCATTACCACTACCACTGCCCCTCCCATAACCATACCCGGAATCACCACCACTCCCTGACCCAGAACCGGACCCATATCCAACTCCAGTCCCACTATCGGTCCCAGTCCCGCTACCATATCCGACACCAACACCAGAGCTCGGGCCAACCTTCTTACCCTTGGCCCCCTCAGCCTCGTCTGATTTCTTCGGAGACGCAGACTCGTTACCACCAATAGGGACGCTTGAGCCCATCTCCATTCCCTTGTCCCCCTTAGCCTCGTCCAATTTCCTTGAGAGAGCGGACATGGACTCGAGAGATTCTTCAAGTTTAGGAGCGGGCGGGCTCCTCGAAGCATGGGTGAAACTTAAGCAAAAAACTACAATGAGAGCACATTTTAGAATAGCCATGTTTGAAGCTTCTTTTTGTTTTTTGGGTGATTTGCATGGTTCGGACATGGGCTTTTTATACACATGAAAAGTGGTATTCTTTGGGTCTCTCTTGAAGCCAGGAGTCATGCAGTTTGTGTTCTTCCGGAGTTTAAGAACAGACTTGAATGATACCAATTGCATGGCCTTTTTTTTTGGTTTCTTGCAGTACTCTCTCTCATCTCATCGCTTTAGTTGGCAACTATTCTTGCCTTTATATTTATATATTGTTTGTTTCTTGGATTTCCTTCTACACTCGTCAATATATTTATATAGGTATGTAGAGAGTATGAGATTGTGTTTCATAACCTACTTTCAACATTTACTGAGTAGAATCCGTGACATGTCAAAATATTCATGTTGTTGTCTTAAAAGGAATGTGGGATCAATATGTAGTTGAACATAGAAAAGTTTGATGCGGTTTTAAACATGTCAATGAACCAAATAACTTGTTAGGTGTAGTACAAAGTAGCGTATCAAGTACCATCCTAGGCGTGAGGAGAAAATTCGTCTAATGGAAATTCAGTTGGGATCTTCACTAAAATCCTTAGTATAAACGAGGGCTATTTCGCATGTTTGGTAAATCAATTCTTGAATTTAAAATTTTGATAATTGGCCTTTTAATTTTAAAATCCGTTGCCTAGCAAGTCCAATGACGGATGTTTAAGTTTTGATCGGTCTGATGCACGTCACTCGCGCATGAGTAATAAAGAAAAGAAATCTGTCATTTTCATTTATTTAAACTCAAATTCATTTTTTAAACTCACGCTTAATTCAAATTTAACTATTTTACTTGGAATTAATTAATTAAAAATTGCTCTTGACTGAATTTTAGTTTTTTTTGTTAAAGATAAAGGTAAATTAATGTAAAAGTTATCTTTAAAAAAATTAGAGAAAAAAAAACACAGATAATGGTTGCATCTTTTTGCATCTTTGTATCTCTCATAAGAATCTTTAATACAAATGTTAATGCCAATTGTATATTTAGCATCAAAAAGTGTGTTATGGTATGTTATTTTCATTTTTTCTCTGGTGCATAATGCCATTTAAAATGTTAAATTTTTTTTTTTTTCATAATCATGGTGGTTTGAAAGTTGTAAAAGTAAATTTTTATTTTTAAAATAATTAAAAAATACAAAGTTGCAATGATTACATGAAAAAATAAACAATTCAACCAATAACAATCAAATGCTAAATTTCTCATATGCTATACTTAGTGAGAAATTTACCATAAAGTATAACATATTGGAACTTTGTCACAACAAATAACATTACATTAGAGTGTGTTTTTTGCACTCAAATGCTAAATTTACAATTGGCACATCAACTATAAGACCATCTCCAATGCAAATACTAATACCAATTGTATAATTAGCATCAAAAAGTATGATATGGTATGTTATTTTCATTTTTGCTCCAATACATAATGCTATTTGTAATGCTAAATTTACTTTTTTATATAATTACTAAGCTTTTGAAAGTTGTAAAAGTAAACTTTTATTTTTAAAATAATTAAAAAATACAAAAGTTGCATTAATTACATAGAAAAAGTAGACATTTCAATCAATAGTAATCAAATGTCAAATTTCTCATATGCTATAGTTGGTGAAAAATTTGCCACAAAGTATAGCATATGAAAAACTTAACATAACATATATCATTAAATTAGAGAGTATTTATTGTACTCAAATGTTAAATTTATAATTAACACATTAATTATAACATTGCATTTGAGAGGCTTATAAGCTTCTCTCTTTCTTTCTTTCTTTCTTTATTTCTTTATGGTCAATACATCTTTTCAAAATCGCTTAAGCTACCACACTTGGTAAAGACACTTCATATGAACGTTGAATAAGAAAACCAAAGAGAGGGAAACATAAAATCAAAGTGAAACTTAACAATTAAAAGAAAAAAGCATAACCTCACTCACAAGAAAAAAAAAAAAAAAAAGTACATACACCTCAAATGACATCCCTCCTAAGAAAGGAAACCTATTCCAAACTCAGTCTCGAAACCTTTTTATGAAATCCTTTGGTTCATTGTTGTCTTTAATAGCTTCTTCAAAAAAGAAGAACCAATTAGCTTAATCACAGTCCTATAAATATAGCATCTGAACATCCCACCTGCACTCCTGAAGCAAATATTTATGAAAGCAGTGAGGGGAACTGTTACGATGAGATCTGGAGAGGGAGGGGTGCTGGACGGTGAGATCTGATGGGAGACGGGTCGTGATAGCGAACTCGAGGGGAAGGGGGTTCTGTGAGCATTATGTCATCTTCACGGTTACAAGGTCGTTGTCGTAGCAACATATGCACATCTGGTCGTCCGCCTCATCAGCAGGCAATGCATATGTGTAGCACCACCAAAACGTCAACTCCATTGATGGTCATCGCGAATTCGAAGAAGTCGGATATATGTCAAGATCTCATGGACTTGAGATCCCATGGTTTTGAAAATTGAGAGGCAACATTTTTATTTTTATTTAATTTTCTTAACAAAAGACCACCAATGCCCTAAAGAGATTGTCACGAGCAAGTCGTCGAAAACCGTAAGATTTAACAGACATTGTTAAAAGGACTAACTATACAACAAATTTTTAAATCCAAGAGATCAATTGCCAAAATCTTTTTTGAGGGACTGATTTGGCAAAACATGACGAGAAGATTAGGGGGCTAATAGTGAAGAAAAGCCCAAATTGAGGGGTGAAATTGTCATTTTGCTAAAAAAGACAAACTTAGTATCATCGAGTGTCTCACTCTGAACAGAAATTACATTGACATCTTCTACAAAGGCCTCTAAGAAACTATAATTATGGAACTAACAGACGAGTTGAAGGAAAAACAAAAAATCGTCATCTATTAAACTTCTTCGCCGTTGCTCGAGTCGGAATCCATTGCCTTGAAACTTTCAGCGAGCATTCGGTTTCTGTTCTGCATTTGCCTCTCGGCAGCAACCATGTACAAGCCTAACAAGTAAAATCACCATTGGTACATCACCAAAGTGGGAAGTAGGACGACAAAGAAACAAATAACAGAGACAGCTGAGTGTGTGATGTGGATATAAAGGGGTTGATTACATGACGTCCAATAATTTTGCAACTTCTACAGAAATGTTACTTTATTTTGAGTTTTTTTAGATTCCTGGAAACATTCTTTCAGATTTTAAATTTTTGCAAAAATATACTGCACACCTGAACATAGGCAAAAATTAGATGGGATTAGACAATACTCAATAGTATCCTTCTGATAGAGGGCAATAGTAGTATAAAAAAAGAAAACTACTGGCAACACCAAAGAATGAGATAACTTTGCAAAATAACTAAAATCCTAATGTACACTCAAATAAAGGTAAAACCAAAATGGCATTCTGAAAAAAGTGTAAACCATCAAAAGGCAAATTAACCCAATAAAAGGAAACAAATTTAATACATATCAGCAAAACCCCGCGGTTAGAAAAGTTGTAAGATCAAGAATGCATACCGATTGCACTTCCAATTGCGCATGCCCAAAGAATCCTCATTGACCATTTATCCCCAATTACTCCTCTGCCACTCATTTCTGCCTGCTATATCACATCAAAATTGGCTGCTTAGCATAACAAACATTCTACACGATACACTCACGGCATGTTTAGTACAACAGATTAAGCTTCGACTAATTCTTGCTTAGACCATGTTTATGTCATATTTTCGATAACTGATCCGGAGACTGTAAAATAGAATCATTCGAGTAACTTCCATGGAATTATTAACCCCTTCAAACACATGGATAAGTAATCTCACCCTATTAAGAGTATTAAATTTATTTTTATATCCCAAATAAATTGAAGTTCTGATATTTAAAAAGTCCAAATATTTGAAAGATTAATTTACCATTAGCTTTCAAATAAGTTAGTAAAACCCAATTTAGAATCAAAAAATAAAAAGACACAATCAAATATAATGTAATTCAATTCAATCCTAAGCAGAAATCTAATCCAATCCCGTGGACCTAATAATGTTGTGATGATTCAAACAATTCCAAAAATTCAGCCAGAAAAAAAAAAGGAAATAACGCTGGACCAGGGGTGATTGTCAGACCAAAATTCAAAATTTGACCGGAAGTTTGAAAGCTTTTAAAAACCAATTCTACCCAGAAACGGGGGGAAAAAATCCAGAGAGAGAGAGAGAGAAACGGATTAAAGAAGAGATTTCCGTTGAATCGAAAATCGGAGAGAAAGAATACCTTAAGTCTTAAAGAGGCCCTTTCAGAATTCTATAGCTTTCTTTGGCTTTGCCTGCGCGACAGCGAAAAGAGAAGTGAGTGAGTGTCAATGTGGGAGAGTCGAGAGGGACGGGAAGAGGTGGAACTGGGCCTCCATAGCCCAAGTTAGAGTCGCTACACGCCGCCTCAAATAACTATAATCCCACGTGTGGGTGACCTTTGCTCTAAACTCTCTTAAAAAAAAAAAAAACCAACTCTCTAGAGAAAAAAGGCAGACATTTGCGTAAATTATAGTTACTTTAAATTTAATTTGTCACGTCGTAAATTATTTAAGTATTTTTAGTATTTAATTACTATTTTTATAGTTGACAAATAAATTGCGTAGAGACAACCGATCAGATAGAAAATGAAGATAGTACATCTAAAGGACGTTTAATTTTTGTATTCAGAATCCTAATTTAAAATTATTTTTATTTTACGTATATTTTTTGTGAGAGAAAACACTATAAAGAACTATGATTCAGAATTAGAGACGAATATGAAAAACAAACATCCCCCTTAGATTCCTCCATTTGTTGCTAAATTCATAAAAGCTTCCTTTCACATAATTGTTAACTCTTTCTATATGTTCGGAATTTATCTATAGACACATCTTTTCCATCTATTGCCCTTTCCCTTTGACTCTTTGCCTAGCACTTAAAAAACATATACAATACAGGTAGCCAACACAAAACTGTAAGGCAAAGTGGCTGAAACATTAGACGTGAAGGATAAAAACACCTAATTAAATATAAGGATTCTTGAATCCCGTTAAGCAAAATATATGAGAAAGGAAAAATTATACATGTATCAGTTAAATTGACTGGGGTCCTTGGGTAAGTCTCTGCATCTCATTTTGGTCATTGAGAGTTTCAATGAGAAGGGGTGGAGCATATTGCGCCGTCCCTTGGTGTTCTTCAGAGTCTTGGCAGAAGGAAAGAATGATGGTGTCAATTGACATCTCAACCACTGCGAAGAAAAGCGTTGCAACGACGTAGCCAAGGCACCAGCAAACCTGCAGGAGACAAAAACACAAATATCAGCCTCTTCAATTAGATGAAAAGTTATCATCAAAGAAAAGATCTCTTGATTTAGCAGTCGTGCGCATGTCATTCTTTTGATTGTAAGAGAACGTACCAACACGGGAAATAGTGGAGACGAGATCTTGTTGTGTGAGGCTCTGTACTTGTGGGTGTCCAGCATGAGAAATGCGAAGAGGGCACTCGAGAGGCTGACGCATAGTTTTCCAAGGAATAAGATAACGTCTCCAATCACGTTAACCCTCCCTATTCGAAGGATGTTGTTGATGATTAGTTCAGTTGCAATGGCCGAGGCCTTGCAGAAGCTTTTACCCGTTATGGCGATCTGTAAAGACAACAAGCATGAACGAATTACCAACAATGTACAAACAATTTGACAAGGAATACTAGAATTTTAGCAAAGAGATTATGGGTGTAACTTTTTATTGACAAAAGATCATGGATATTGCCCATATGGGTGTAACCTGATGGTGACCACCACTATGGATGAGCCGAACCCAAAACATCTCGAGTTTGAGTCCCACTAGAAAGACCTTGGATTATTCAACTAATGAAGCTTATAGGCTGTCTCATGGGTTTTTGAGCTAGAAAATGACCAATGAGACAGCCCATAAGCCTCATTAGTTGAAAAAGTTCAGGATCTTTCTAGTGGGACTCGAACTCAAGATGCTCAGCTGATGAAAGAAAGAACTGACTCGGAAGTTTACTTGCAGCTAATATAGTAAAACATAAAAGAAAATGGGACAACCTTAGTTGCCTTATCCAATGCTATTTCTATTCTTTTACCAACTTTTTACCACAACTGACGTGGTACTAATAAGTCATGTCACTTTTCAATTGGTAAGATGCAACTTTCTATGAACGGACGTCATTTTATTCACCAATCCAAAAATGACAAGTCACTTGCCACGTGTGTTGGTATAAAAGTTGGTAGAAGATTTGATTGTGGTACACTAGACTTTATATCACTAGGAGTTGAGAAGAGTATTGGGAATGCAATATCCTATTATAGAATAAATTGGTCTCCGGCATTTAGATACTTCTGATATTATTAAAGCCTGTTTCTCTTTCTAGCAATCTTTTCAAAGAGGGACATTGATGAATCTGATTAAGCATACATGCACATGCAGCTATACTTGACAATATAATCTCTAGAATTACCATGATGTAGGCATTGCGGTTCACCGATCTGATTGTCCAATCGACACACCTTAAGCAAAACCTAGAAATATGGAATGCCATCCTTCCAAACCAATTATCAGGTGCGGTGCCAGCAACTTTCAGTTTCCGACGAACTGACTCGAGCATAAAACGGATGGATTCCACAAATGATAGAATCAGGGAGCCAAGAGCAATAGATCCGAGGTTGTATCGAATAAGTCGCTTCATGGAGGAGAAGACTGGAAGAAATGGAATTTCCGGCTGCATTTAGAATAATAAATATCAGCAATTTATGAGGAAAACAATGCACTAACAGAAAATCTTAAACAATTCCTTAGATGGCTACTAAAAACAAGCTTCCTCTTTTACCATTCAGACATATATTACACAGTCATTCATAAACAATGCTGTCAGACCTTCTATGACCAAGAAAATTAAAATCTTGGACACTTCATTGTTCGAATTCAACGGCTCTACCAAGAAACAATAGAAAATTCCCCCCAATTTAGCCAATCATTTTGGTTAGTTTGAATGGCACCCATAGCACTTGATAAAATGTATAACTACTGGTTAAATAACATATTCAAGAAAATGAGTTGAGCTGATCTGACATTATGGAATACCTTCTGAAATTACATGGACCGATGATTTGTTATGGACATATACAAATTAGTAGACGATCTACAGGCTACAATCAACCCCATTCTGTTATTTAGCATTCTGCCACACTAACATAGATTTGTCATTCAGTGAAATCCAGTAATAAGTAAACACATGTAAATAGAACAATGACCCGTCCGAGTTTTTTAAATGTCTTTGCAATTTGCTTGGATACTTACTGATGTTTCACTACGAGCCCAATAATAGGAGGCTACAGAACCCGCGATGACAGTTGAAGAGCATGCTATAAAAAATTGTGTAGCCCAGTAACCCCCAAATAAGTGGAAAAGGATGGCAACTCCAATGTGAGGAGTGTAATGAATGCTATAGCCGCAGCAACGATCACAGTTCACCCTTTTCGACACGAGATCATATGTACAGCAGTTGTCGCTGCAGTTGTTCTGGAGGATCTCACCAGAACTGAAGAGATGGAAAGCAGCTGAAAACCAGAACATGTAAAAAATTGCAAGGATGGCATATGGTATGATAGGAAAAATTATGAGCGCTTGAACTTCTCCAATGACCTTCGCAGCGACCTGTGACATGTAAAGAAACGTTGAAAAATTTGATATCTAAGTGAGATAAAGAAATCAGGCTAATTTTCTAGTTGTTATAATTTAAGGAATAAAGACATTTAGTGTTGATATAAATTAAAATGTAGTTGCAGGTTTTGCCAAAATGCAAAGTGCAAATTAAAAGCAGTGTTTTTCTCTCAAACCTCTGATGGCCTACTGGTAAAGTCAAGTTTTGGTTGAAAGTTTACTATCACCAGCTAATGGTATCTATTTACTCCAACGCCATATTAGGCAAAAAAAAAAAAAAAACAGAGAGAGAGAGAAATTTTTTTTTGAGAAAGTACATGCCATGTTAGTTGGGAAGAACATGACATTCTTTTTGAACGATCAAAACATTAGTGGCGGTCTGCTAAAAGAACTCCATAAACACTCCCAAGGCTCGCGTGAAGAAATTGGGATGTCAAACATGTTAATGCTTTAAGAACCAAGTAGTGCTGATAACCATCCGAAGTCACATGACCAGTAGGTCAAGTTGAACAGATTATTTGTACAACATGTTGATTTATTCCCAAAAGAAAAAAGTACCAATTAGTAAAAGCTAAACCCCATCTTTTTTCTTTATTAGACGACCGAGTCAATCGTGGCTGTTTTCTTTTTTTTAGAGGTGAGCGCGGGATTATCGTAAGGCCAAGCCTACATACCACAAGTTAAATGGCTATCACAACCCACGTCAACACATTCACTCAAATCCTTTGCTTCCCCTGGTGTAGATAATCTCATAAGTGAAACACATCGATGCAGATAGCATCAACTACTCTAAAACAAAAGGAATCTACTAATTGCCAACTTCTTTTAATAATTTGATTATCAAAACTGATGTATACAATATGTATGTTAAACTTGCCTTGAGGACCGATGTTGCCATAAGAATGCGGCGGATAATAGCAATTGATGTGAGAACAGCAACAACCATAATAAAGGTCATAAGAACAGCAACACCGCGGATATGATGTAGTTCCTGAAAGATTCAAAAGTTGAAGTGGTTAAAACTTAAAAAATATGCATAGAAAGCTTTGAATGGTGAGAGATAAGTTAACAATTATACCCACCCTTGCAGATACGTGAAAATATGGATCTTGTTCACCAATTATGGGAGTGATGGCATCATTTCCTATCCATCCAGCTGAAAGTAATGGAGACCAAATATTCAGCATTATATTTGGTTGAAAGTTATCAACACAACAAGAATATATAGGAAAAGAAATAGACAAGAATTACTACACAAAGCACTATGCTACTATGCTTTGCTCTCATACAGTGAAATTTCTTTTATCTGCCATTGGACCTATATTAACTCCACTCTGGGAGCCAACACTAAACGCACAAAAAAAAAAAAAAAAAAAACCATTATATTGCTCAACAAAAAAAAAAAAAGAGTTAATAAAGGATTTTTCTTTTTTTAAGAAAAGCTTCTAAGTACTGATATAATGATAGGACAATTTAAGAAGTTAAAAAAAAAAAAAAAAAAAAAAAAACTGTTGAAAGAGAACTTTTTTACCCTTTACCACAATCTCCATTTGACAGCACACCTTCTGTCCAAAAAGACAGACATGGGAAAAGAATAAAAATAAAATGGCGAATAAAAAAAGCTCCTGACCTTTTATGTAATAAAACATAGTGACTGATATTATGAGAATGTTAAAGAGAGCAACTGTTATCCAAGGCATTGCAGCGACAAAATGCCGGATCAAGAGCAGCCAAATCACAGACAAAAAAAGCGGCAATAGTCCTCCGCAAACAATTAACACGGGCCATGATTTTCCAATATCAGCCATGTATCTCTGCAAATAAACATGAATAAGGAATTGAAGACTATATCGCAAATAGTAAAATGCCAAATGGAAACTATGCCGAGAAGAATTCATGTAGACAAAGACCAAGTAGTATGTTTTCCCTAATTAGTCACAAGTATAACGCTTTTAAAGCAGCAAAAGAACAGTAAATAGGCGAAAGGTACTCAACCTTTAAAACAGATGATGGAGAATTGATGGTCCTGTGAATGGATTTATCTATAACAATGTCCTCATTGATGTGCACTCCACCCATTTGCTGCCAATGCCTCAAAGACATATTTGATGAGCGAGCAATAAATTGGCAGCTCCAATAAACTGGAAAATGGAAAGAGCTTATTATAAAATTTCAAAGCAGAAAACGGTAATAATCATTACATTTTCATGATGCCACTGCAACAAAACAGTTTGTGAGGAAGAAGAAAACAATGGTGAGTCTGCTTACCATTAATACTTGGAAATATGACCGGGTAACAAGGACCCTGAAGCTGGAGAGAGGTGTTCCTCATTTCTGGCGTAAGAAACTCGAAATAATCAAAATTTCTATCAATCCAATCATCCATCGAGAGACGGATATCTCCTTCTGGATAATCACAAACCCAATTCAGTGCATCATCAGACGGCATGGGACAATCAAGTAAGCAAATACTCCGTGCATTAGCCAACTTGAATCCACTGTCTTTCAGACCACTTTGGTAGACTTGGTTCGGATTTAACCAATATCTGAGTTCGAGTTGACGAAGACCAGCATGCTTGTCCCCACATACATTTCCTTTGTAGTCCAGTCCATAGGTGAGCCTGTTTAGTAAGAGAGCACTATTGATCACTACAACAAAATAATAGCGGGGGGGGGGGGGGGGGGGGGGCGCCCACACAAAAAAAAAAA